ACTGATGAGGCCTTATTCTCAGGGTTAACTCTATCCTATTTACAAGAATAACAGTCTATATATACATTGAATTAGACCAAATTGACTATCCTGCAAGACGCCAAGTATAAGCTAACTCTATCAAATGTCGTAATGATCGACAAAGTATACTATCGTAATTACTTCGATTATTAGTTAATTAACTATAAACTAAATTATTATAATGTTACACAAGCAAAAAGTATTATTGTTATCTTTGCTACTATTTTGTGTAGCATCATGCCACAAATATTTTCTAAAAAGTATCGGTTGCTTGAGCTGCCGACACATCAAATAATTGCTATTACTTGCTCTCTCACTATAAAAATTACCCTTCTTTCTAGAGAATTTGATTCACTATAATTACGACCTGAAATTAAATACAGCAAAAAAGTTCATAAATTGAGATGGGGATCGATTCTAAAAATTACAATCGATGGTCGATTTTCTGAGCTGATTAAATAATGATCAAAAAGTTATTGAACATTTCCAGATTACCGAGCCTTTTTAGAATTTACTATAATTGGTTGACTTATTTTGAATATAATATACAATAATAATCATTATATACATACTTTACCGTATGCAGTATGTACAGTACGTTAGATCATACTATGAAACTTTTATTTAGCTTTTTAGTTAGTTTCTTATCTATATGTACGAAATATTTTGTGCTTCTTTTAGTTTTTACTTGATTTTTACGAGACATATGAATTAATTTAATAAGAATATTTCATTATCAATAATTGGTATTTCGCTTCTCATCATATCTAATTATTAGTTTGGTAGGAGTGCAATTTTTAATAATCATTGTACTCTTAAATCTTTCATTAGACTCAATTTATTCATATCAATTTAGCGATTCCAAATTGCATTATACTCTTTATAAATTAATTGATAAAATCATAATGTGAAACTTTCCATTTTGTAACAAATAAAGAATTTTTTTTAGATAGCTGCGAGACGTTATTGTGCAAATCAGGAACGAAAACTAAAAAAGAAAAGAAGTAATTATAAACTTGACAGCTAGATAAATTCACATGATGAATTTGCGTCTAACCGATTACTCTCCCCTTCAACTGATTACTTTTTCACACTGATTTTTAGTATCAATATGTGATATATCCTGTCAAGTAATTATCTAAGCGCACAATATTGGTAAATGAAGAAAAATATCGATTTCCATGAAGTTAATGCCATTCCCATGTGTTGCTACTGTGCGAATGACATTAACTCTGGCAAAAGAAACTTGCTGCTATATAATTGTTTATATATAACGCACATGGGCGTTATTTGGAAAATCAGGTTTATCAAAAAATCGAAGCTTGTTTCAAAATAACGCCCATGCACGTACTCTAATTAACGCGTATATACTCAAAATAATGCGCAGGTGAGCGTTATTTCGCGAAAATACGGTATAAAATTCTGCATTACAAGAAGTTTTGAGCATGTACCGATTGTGCCAAAATTAATAGTGATTTGCAAAAAGGTGTGACTTCGGCAAAAAAATTTTGAGATTCTAAATTGCCAATTGAATAATATCGAAAAATACGATTGATTGAAATCTTTAAAATTGTCTAAGTCACACTTTTAGCAAACCACTATGAATAAAATTTTATTGGCTAAATTTGCAGAGCGTACAACTTTTTTTTAAGAACTTAAAATAACTAATTTATACAATATACTGTATGATGTGTTTCGCAATGATCTCAACTTGAATTTAATTATAGTAGCAACTGTATTTGGATATTATTTTCAACTACTGTCGAATCTTTCTAAACTGATTCACATGGTGAACAAGGTATCAGGTTTGAAAATATTATAAACCATTAGATTTATATAGCAGAAGCATACTTGGTAGATTATTTTTTTATCAAATTTGACAAGATCATTCAACAGTATAATGTGTATCATTATATTGTTATATTGCATATTTAGTACTTTAATTTATCATAGTTGAAATTAGAAATTAAAAATCAAACAGACATCGAGTAATTTTATTATAACTGAAAATTGAAAATACAAAATTTAATACAAAGAAAAAAAAAAATTCCTCAAAAAAAAAACATCAACGTGAAAATCTGCAAACAATATTAGTTGCTTTTTGCTTTAGTAAACTCAACCGCCCTTTATCATCATTGCAATTTCCTTTAAATTTTTCTAAACTATTTTTATATTTAGCTATATATGTGTGTCTAAATTGCCCTTCTTAATAAAAAAGTAATTACAACCGAAATTAGTCTTATATAGTGCCGAAATTATTGCTAAAATTTTTTGAACACTTTTCATCAAAATACATCATAAATTATAGTTATTTCAGAGGGTTTATTATAAAAAATTTAGCAATGCCGAAATGTTTACTAAACATTTTTCAAAAATAATTTAGGCATACATATATACATTTAGCAATGAAAGATTTATATTTTTTATCATAAAAACTTTATAATCATCTTCATTATTTCTATTATGTCTATTTGAACAGTTTATAGCTTGCGAAGATTACTTATACGATTATCTAATCGATCGCCATTAATATGATCAACTTTTTCTTTTCCTGGATTCATTAATAATCTATGAAGTAAAATTGTTTTTCTTGTGCTGCTTTTAGAGGTAGCAATGTAAATAATTTTATCAAATTTAGACTTTTTAGCATACCAAGTATTATTGTTGGATTTCATTATATTTGTTTTCATCAATATTAAAACAACCAGTCTTATTACTTGTTCTCACAAGGTGACACTTTTCTTCATCATATTTAATTTTACAAATATTATTGTAATACTTCTTTCCCCTATGTCGACCAGGTTTGAATTTACTAATAAATTCAATTTTAGAATAATCAAACTTTTTCAATTTTTTTGATTTTATTTTATTTTTTTTTTAAAAAAAAACACGAGACTTCTGCCTATTTATAAAAAAAAATCAATTACCTGGCTAAACGTTAACACCAGTATTGGCTAACTTTTGAACCATATATTTTTGAATAGAATGATTAATAGTTCTTCAGGAAATATTGAGAATAAAGATTTTATTTGATCTTAATAGAAAAATGGAAGTAGATTTAACAGAAAATATCAGTTTATAGTTTTTTTGTTATTTTATTCTTTCCAATTTTAACATACTATTTTGTAAGTTCGAAAACGACATCTTTCAGCGATATAAGCTAAGCCTTTATATTATGACAAAGAGTGGGGCAGAGTATAATAATTAAATTATCATTTATTACGTAATAATTAATATTTCATCAGAATTTATAATCCGATTGATCTTGATTGGCTGCTGCGTATAATTTAATTTTAATAATCCCCGATCGCAAGTTCATGGGAGGATTAATTCTGTCGTTTAAATATTCACAATGTACAGTTAACAACATTCGGATCTTTTAAAAATGATTGACTTTAGAATGATATTTATGGTCTTGCATATTGTATCGGCAAACGACTCCAGCACGACACTTAGATCAGTTATTTAATCGGTATTTAATTTTTTGATTGCTGAATTCATAACCAACCATGTAAAAATTCACTCAAAGAAAAGTTTCTACCAAAAAAAAAAAGCGAAATTCCAAGTTACTAATTTTTTACCATTAATATAATTGAAAGTGAAGCATGAAGTTTGGATCAATATTTTTGTTTATTAATCATTTTTTTACTTGTGCAGACTGAAAGACTTTTCGAGATTATATGCCTTAAGATATATATCCAATAACTTCTATACAATTACTGTAATAACTTATAGTACATTAAACCTCGTGAAGGATATTATTATAATTTCTAATTCGATTTCAGATTCTTTAGTATCTGCCTCATCCACTTCAGCTATATTATTAATATTCCTATATTATTAATATTCAGAAATATTAAATTCGCATTTAAATAATCAATTGGTGTTAATGCACAAATAAGAATAATAATAACTGCTTATTAAAAAATAAAAGAAATATGTGCTTATTGTCTATTGACATTTTTCTGTTTTTAATAGTAAGAATTTTTAAAATTATCACGTCTAGAACCTATGCTTCTAATGCAGGTCTTATTAGCGTTGGCTTCAAATAAATCGGTCGGTTTTTGATTCATAGTAAAGAAAATATATATTATCTTTTTTTTAGATTTGCTATAAAAACATCATGTATTTAATCTCGAAAAATAAAATTAATTAAACATGAATAAACCGGTAATTTGCTATAAAAGACTTAAATAATATTTAGTAATAACAAGTTCTGGACAGTTTTTTATTCATATTTATGAAAATAATGATAATTATATAATTTATTATTTGGGTGATATCAAGGTAAGATCAAATTTCATCAATCCTTAAGTTTCTGTAAAAATTCCAATTAAAAATAAACTAAAAAAATGAATTCGTAAATTGAAAATGTGTGGCCAAAGATTTTAATGACAGTTTGACATCGAATCAAGGTACGAATATATATATATAACAGTAAAAAGGTTTGGCGCTATATTTAATACAATGTAAGCTATACAAATTACAATCTAAATCCAGATACGTCACAAGGTAATCCATGCATCGTAAAAGTTATTACAATAAATAATCCGTTAGTTAATTAATTTACCCTTTGATATGTTTAATAAATTCATCCCATTCATTTTTACGAAAATTTTCAAGCCAGGTGATCGTAATGTCATCAACTAGATCGAAAGTTATCCAATTATTATTCAGTGTCTCAAGCAATTTAGCTAAGCGTGGCCCAGCTGAAATGTATGTTTTAAGTTTTCGCTTGGAAATTTTTCCAGAAATTTGAGGACAATTAATATTAATGAAATCATTGGACTCTTTCTTTCTTTTTTTATTTCCTTGCTCGTGTTGAATTTGAAATGAAATTTGGCTTGTTTCATCACTATTTGAAAGTTGAAGCTTAATTTTTCCAGTGAGAATAGCACTAACTTTGGTTGCCAACTTCTCTCCTTTTCTTAACTTTATCTTATTTTTTTTTATCCATTCCTTCATCTCGTCATAAGCTTGTTGAAACTTATATAAAAATCTCAGAAACATACGTCTTTGAACTTCAGAGTGCAAAAAAGTATGATCACTGTAATCTATAGCAAGATAACATGTATTCATAAGTTCATTAAAGATTGTCATTTTTTGATCTGCATCATTTTCATTTTCTAAGCTATCATTTTCTAAGCTATCATATTCTATATGTCCAGGTGTTGACTTGAGGAACTTGATTTTATTTGCGGTTTGCTCTTCTTGGTTCAATTTTAAATTAATAGCACCATTAATTTTTGAAGAATCAAAAGAATCAAGAATTTGGGATGAGCTTTGTTCACTTAAATAATTCTTAATGTTTTCATAATATTTTAATTTTTTAACTCCAGAATTAGGGTCATAAAACGGAGCTCCTTCTTCAATTCCAATACTAGGATCTATTTGACGGGGAATAACGGCTTCTAATCGAAAAAATTCACGATATAAATTTGCAACCTTAAGTTTATTGCTCGATATGATGTAATTCTTTTTAGGATATTTTACATAAAAGCCCATCGGATCATTTTCATCTTCCTTAAATTCTAGGTAATTTGTGTGTTCTTTGATATCCTCAACTGTGTGAGATTTATTAAAATCCCCAATTTCATCTTCATTAAATTCTAGGTATTTTGTGTGTTCTTTGATATCCTCAACTTTGAGAGATTTATCAAAATACCCAATTGTAATGCTTTCTTTGTTGTTTTTAAGTATCATTTCACCGTTTTTTGGATAAATTTCAACTTTTTTTAATTTAAAACGAGAAATTACGCACAACGATAAACTAAGATTAATAATCTCGGGATCGATTTCTTGCATTAATTCTAAATAATAATAATAATAATAATAATAATTTAAAATTAAAATATTAAATAATTCAAAAATGTTAGAACATATCATTTACGTACGTACTTTGTTTTTTAGATGATTCTTTTTCAGCCTCTTCATCGCCTTCCTCATCATCATAATTATTGACATCATGCTAGTCCTACCTGTTTGGCGTTTGGTAACGAAGGACATATAATTGTGAAGACCGAAAGGCTTTTCAAGATTATGTGCCTTAGGATATATCTATACAATTAATAATTTATAGCTACATTATACCTCATGAAGGATATTTTTATAATTTCTATGTTCAATTCCTAATTCAATTTCAGATTCTTTATCCACTTAAGCTATATTATTATAATTGAATTCGTATTTAAATAATCAATTGGTGTTAATATACGTACAAACTATCTTATCTTGCGTGTTTCTATGATAACGAAATTTTTTTTTCTAAATAACCAAGATGATATCAGCTTGAGTGTATCATTTTTTTTTTCTCCAATAAGTTATAAAATAATTTAATTTTTTATCGAATGGTAATTTAGTCTTTTCATCAACTAAACTAAAATTTAGTTTGTACATGGTTTTCAATTCTTGATTCATATTATTTTGGATATTTTTTAATGTAATTTAGACACCATCAATCATTTATATACATATTCTTAATTGCTACGTATCAAAGTTATTATTTTTCCAACAAGGAAATTTCGATCATTTAATTTATCTATATTGGACATTTTGTCGGTGAAATGTTATATCTACGAAATGAGTGTCAGTGAAGTGAGCTGAACCGGAATAAACCTATATCTAACCCTAGAATTTCAATTTTCGTTCCAACTTACAACATGTATACAAACATCATTTTAATCTCGAAAAAAAAATAGTTAAGCATGAATAAAACGAGAATTTTACTATCTAAGTCTCAAATAATATTATCTTATTAATGTCAAGTTCTTTTCATATTAATGAAAATAACGATAAAGTTATAGAGATGCCAAGGTAAGATCAAATTTCTTAATTTTTAAAATTCTTTGGTTTCTGTAAAAATTCCAACGAAACAAAAAACTAAAAAAATTATTTAGTAAATTTAAGTAGAAAATGTGCGGTCAAAGATTTTAATGTCAGTTTGACATCGAATCATGATATGAATATGTATAAAATAAACAGCAAAAATATATGGATAAATATCTGATATGAAGATGAATAAATAACGGGAAATTTTGATTTTATATCCAGATACGTCACAATATAATCCACTGAACTATTACACCCTATGATCATAAATATTGCAAAGGTTGTCAAAGCTATACTTCGTTAGTTAATTAATTTATTATCCAATTTATCTTTACGAAAATTTTCAAGCCAGAATCTCCGAATTCTCTTCACTATTTTCATCATCATAATAATCATAATAAATATTTTTTTCTCGGTTCTCATTTGCATCTTCCTTTTTATCTGGTTTTTTTTCTGGCAAAATAGTATGCTATGTATGTAATTTTGTTCTAGAAATAAAATTATCAAGTCAATAAAAAATCATATCAAAAGCCGAAATTGGCTCTTGTTAATTCACATGGCTACTAGTATAATTCGTACGTACGTTAAGCAAAGATTAAGGCCAAAATATAAAATATAATAAATTTAAAATTTACCCATGTTAATAAATCGTTTGCTTATAATCCAAGAATGACGAAGAGGACAAAATTTTTTTTTAAAAAAATATTGCGGCACATGTGCCCATATGATCGTATTGTTATAAATTTGATTTATCATTGTATAATCAAAATTTTTTTAAACAATTATATATATACATATGCTCTTATAATTCCATCGAGAAACAGAAAAATCGAAAATAACTCAATATTTACTATCCAAGTACAGTTTGATCTTTAGTAAAAGTTTCTAACACGAAATTTTACTTATATATTAGTCTTCAATATTAATTAATTAGATAAATAACAGACATCCGATTTGTCACGCAGATCATGTGCATAAAATTTTTAATATGGAGTCAAATGATCGACGCACCCAAATTTCATAAGTAAAATTTAGGCAAATTTTGCTTTCTAGGATTATTTAATGATTA